TGTTGTTGACATTTCTCACATAAAGGTTTTTTTTTGCCTTAAACTCTTTACCTGCTAAATGGACACAAAGCTTCTTATTTTGCTCAGTATTTGAGGCCTTACATAAGAGGCAAATGTTATTATTTAAAAGTAGGCAGCTGAACACCTTGTGCTCATTTTATTCTGGGAACATCTGAGGAGGAAAAGAACCACTTTCTCTCTGATACATGTTCGTTTTCGACTACGCCACTTTTCAGTACTGTAAACGAGACATAAAAGCAATACAACTCCACTGACCTTTTCCTTAATGTAGACTCACAAACCTTGACCACTCTGATGACCTCTTTAACAGTGCGTCGGAAATCATGCATTCTTGCTGCCACGAGCAGGGCTAGAGGAGAAGCAGGGAAAGCCAATATCAAAACGAGCAGAAGTTCCCAAAGAAAGCAGAAAACACTGACACAAGCACGCCCTATCTTTGTCCCACCTTCAGCTCAAGAAAAGTAGATTGTAATGTCCAGCTGTGTACTTAAACACTGGTGATTAACCTGTCCATACAAACTTTGCTTCCCACCCAGGTAAAATTAAGCAAATCATACTCTGGAAAAACTCTGGAAAACCTTATGCTTTTAGCATATCCATGGTGAGCTTTTTGAACACAGCGCAAGGATAGATGGCTATTCACACATTTTCCAAGTTACCATCCTTTTAGTAGAATTTGCTAGACTTGAATAAAAATCTCCAGTTAACTCTGGAGAAGCTGGCAGTGAAATGCTGAATACAGCCCGACGGTGACTCAGAGGTAACGGGCAAGGGATACCAAGCAGAGGAGGCCACAAGGTTCTCGTCATGAGTTGCACTGTTTGCAGTGCATTTATGCACTGTTCTTCACTCAAGTACGCACGCACAAGATCCTTCAAACGAAGTGAAGCACATAGGAGCTATGTCACTACATAGGCTTTCTGTTACTCTGACCTCCTGCCTGGTACTGACTCCCTTTTCATCTAGTCTTCCCAAACTAGACTCTTTAGAAGCATCGTGATTAATCTTGAAAAGAGATGAAGAAGGGGAGGACATGAACCTCAAAAATTAAGTTTAGAGAGGGCAGTTTTTGCAAAAGATGCAGTATAAAGATGCTCATCAAAGTGTTTGCAATGACGGGATGGTTTTAGCTCAGTTAATTTAAGGAGAAAAGAGCAGTAGGGGGGCTCAGGAGATACATTTATTAAACCAATTGGTACAGTCAGAAGACGTGGTGAGGTTTTCAAGCACATAGACCCATCCAGGCAAAAGAAAAGAGGGAACAGGACATCAGAACATTTGCGCTTGCACAAGTTAGAAAGAACTGGTAATTCTACCCAAGAGACCAGACGGATGGAGGAACAGGGTCAACAACATTGCCAGTGAAAATCGCTCATAGCTAAAGATACCAGAAGACCTCCAGGCAAGATGAAGGGGCAAAGGAGGACAACGGGGAGGGAACTTTTTAGCAGTGAGCAGTGGAATGCCGGGAAGGATGTTAGCACACACAAAATGCAAGATACACAGGACAGAAACAAGCAGCAAGGACAAAAACAGCTGCGTGAGTTTCAGACAGCAATTTCGATGAAGATGGGTGATCTCTCGGGGCCCAACAAAACCCAAAGAACAAGGCACCGTCAAAAAGTTTGCCCCCGTACCCAGGTGCAAGCTCTGGCACCCAGCCGAGCGGGCAGCTCTGCCGGGACCCCGTACCTGCTCCGCAGAGGCCGGAGGGCCGGCGGCCCGTGTGCATCCAGTCCCTCTTCATCCGCTGCAGCAGCCTGAGAGCCGTCATGGACACCTCGTGGTTCTTATCCCCAAACTCCAGCATGTGTGCGAAGCGAGGGATGTACAAACATGGATCTGCAGGAGAACACAGCACACGTTTCCAGTCCTGAGCTTGAATTTCTGAAACACGTAGCTTCAGCCGTAGCACCGCAACACGCGCAACGCTGCAGACTGCGCGGGATTACTCATCTTCAGAAAGAGGTTTTAGCAAGGGGACAGCAAAAATAAAGTTCTTTCTTGCTTTACAGACAGAAGCCTTTACAGCACAAGGTTATTTTTCCCACACATTTTCCCAGGTCCAAAGCTGTAAATGCTGAATCCAACATGTGAGCAGGACTCCTGTTATCAGCGAAATTATGCACAAAGCAGAGTAGGGAGGTTAACTTCAGTCCAAAACTTTTAACATTTCCTGCAAAGCAACAAATAAACTAACTCGCACATCTTCTCTTGCACTTGCTTAAAAATTAGGCTTTGAAAAAAGCCCTGGGCTTAAAATTGAATGTTTTTAGCAAAAGTTCATTTACATCCTCAACATTACTTACAGCTCCTTCAGAGACTCATCTTCCGCCAATACAAAACGCTATTTATCACAAATATTGAGGGATACCTTCCATCATCAGAAAAAGCTGGGGCCCAATTAACAACTGCAGTGTTATAATCACTTACATCAGCCAGGATCTGCCTCCCAATGCACCAATGTGTTTCAACTGCTGGTGTTATCAGCTCCAGCCTAGTGGTGCTTTGCCTAAGCCAATTTATAATTAATCAAACAATCTTGTAAAAGCCATGTTCAACGCGTGTTTACTCTTATTTGAGGCATCGGTTTCTCATTTCCTGACAGGCTTTTATCAGTTGACCGAAAATCCAGCCTCAATTTCCTCAGCTGATTCCCTGCGTGGGCCCTTCAGCCGATGGGGAGCAACGTTCAGCTAGGAACACTCCACCGGCCGCGCGGCTTCGCAGTTAGACGCGGCAGCTCCATCGAGCATCGGTGCCTGCTCCATGCGCAGCTTCCCCACGGCGCGGCACGGGCCCGTTCCTGGCGGCCCTTTGGGATGCACCCGAACGGCTGCGTGACCAAGCAAAACCCTCCAGCTGCATCTTCCTCAAAACGCAAGAAATGCCAAAGCGCCATCACTTCCTGAGCACGATTATGCAAAAAATAATTGATTAGGGAAGATTAAGCAGCCCCCGTGGTTCATAAGGGCAGTTTGAACGTGTTTTAATTGCCCAAGGAAAGCTTCAGCAGGTGCCTCGCTACTATACGTGTGTTGAGGTGCTGGTCACAAATAAATTGCCTGATCAGGAAGAGCAGGCCTGGGAAAACCCATCTTTTAATATTTTCTCACAAGAAGATGTATTAACAGTTAGGGTTTTTTTAAGTATAACTTTATGAACTAATAATCAAACATAACCCAGTGTGACCTGGACAGACCCACTTGCTCCCCAAGCTCGGGCGCTGCTGGCCGGAGTGGCCTGAGGGGCTGCGGGAAGCGCGACCGCTGCTCCCGGCGGGAGCGAGGCAGCACGGGGAGGATCCGGCTCAGCTCTTTGCAGCCTTCCCTTGGGCTGCTTCCCCACATCCACGCACACCTGCACCGTGGCTGCTTGGCCATTCCATGCCTGCAGGTCACCCTGCAAAATGTTGCATGTTGGAAAGCACCAAAGCGGCCAGAAAACGAGCACGCACCTTGGTGTTAACTGAAAAGGCTTAAGGAGGCCACAAACGGCTGGGACGTTAACGCTGCCACATGCACAGATTAAATGTAGGGCCCAAGATAGCGTGAAAACCTGCTATACAAATGCAAACAACCTAAAATGTTTTTCGAATATATCAAAAAGTTCAAAGCTGCATGTTGAGTTGAGGCCTAACACCCTGGCTCTCCCTTGCGTGCCAACAGGAACACTGGCGCCCATGGGCATGCAGAAGCTCAACGGGGGCAAAACTCCCTGGCTTCCCGGGGAGGCTGCCTGGCAGAGTTCTTCAATAAATGGAAGAATTGCAAAAGTTTCTCAAAGAGCACCTGCTTCGTGACTTGGCTCTGGGCTTTCAGGAGCACCCAGGCCTGCACCATGATTCTGGGGGGACATGGAGATGTCCCCTGGGGAGAGCACACGGCAGTGACTCCACAGCCGGGATCGTGTGCGGGAAGGGAGGGAAGCGCGGGGAAGGAGGCTGAAGTAACCGAGGGCGGGGGGAGAAGC